AATTGAATAAAATTTCTTTAATCGATTATATAAATTAATTATTAGATGGTGAGTATAAAATTAATTTACAAATCGAATCTTTATAATTGTATAAAATTTCTCAACCGATTATATATAAATTAAATTATTAGAATGTAAGTATAAAATTAATTTACTAATTGAATCTTTATAATTGAATAAAACTTTTCTAACCAATTATATATAAATCAAATTATTAGATTGTAAGTACAAAATTAATTTATAAATTGAATAAAACTTCTCTAACCGATGATATATAAATTAAATTATTAGTCATTAAGTATAAAATTAAATTTATAAATTGAATCTTTATAATTGAATACAACTTCCTTAATTAATCATATAAAATCAAATTATTAAATATAAACAGAGCCAAAGCGACATATAGTATATGCCTATTAGAGTTATTCTGGTTATTATATTTAGTAAGAATGTTAGAGAAGGAAATTTATTAGTGAAACGGGTAAAGGAATGAGATAAAATAGTTTTTTAAATAGATTCGTGCATATGCATAAAACAAATCTATATACTCTGGCCCCTCGCACACAATAAAGTTGAAGTTACATGCTTTACAATAAGATCCTATAAATATTACAATCGGTCTTATACAAAGTGTCCAATAACTACTCTACGGTGTTATGATTCAATAAACTTTTACACCGCCGACCTGTTATTGAGCTACTAGAAAAAGTCCTTAATCATCTATTTTGTATTACACACGTGACTTCGAACCCCGGCTTAGAACCAATGTACAGAGGTAAAATCGTGGTCTTGAAAGAATGTCTTACGCACCTGACCAAATCTAACTGCCTCTTTCGAATAAGCAGAGTATTGGTTCAAGAACATATTTGATCATAGATATTGTTCTAGCCATTAGACCCCTTGTTATCAATAATAAACTATATGTAACTTTGTGACGACTTTTGAAGAATTAGAATAACTTGCAATTCGATTTACTTGATATCCTTCAGACATTATGATGCAATCTCCGTCAATGTCTTTATTTGAATAATCGTTGTTAACATTGAAAAGTTGTAAAATGTCATCTTTATTTGTTGATCTTTCTGCATTTATTGTTACAGGAATTATTTCAACTTTATTTCGCTTGCTTTTATTATGTACTGATTTTATTTCCAGAGCAAAAACATTTATTATAACCTCTATCATAACTTTTTTAATAATACTTTTCTTGATTCTAGGTCTTCATCTTTAACATAAATTTTTAAACTGATAATCTATTACATACTGTAAAAGAATATTAAAATACAGTAGTCAAATATTATATAATCAACTCTCTCTACAACCATATAGTTGAGATAATAGTAACTTTTTTTGAAAAAGTGTTTATAAAGAGTTATGCTTATATAGAGGTTTTTTATATATTTTTATATTAATTTGTTTAACAAAATTAGGTGCTTATATAGAGGTGTGATTATATGTTATGAGATTATAAAGAGGTCTGACTGTATTTGCTTATTATATGAAATTTCAAATCCAAACTAAACATTTTCAAAAAATTAATAACAGTACTAATACTTGCAAAAAGCCAGTAACTGGATCTATTCACTTTTAAAGACCAGTAAAAGCTCAAAAGCTTACTTAGGTATTCTTATTCAAGCTAACATAAACTTATACAAATTTCTGTATTTATTTTAATAATTATCTAATGATATAATTTTTTCTAATAATTAATCTAATTCTCTAATTGTTGATATTTTTTAAGTTCTTTGCCTGGTTAAGTTAAATATTATCATTGAATATTATCATTAGAATTCTTATATTTTAGTAATTATTTGACAATGAAATATTATAATTATCAAAATTATCCAAGTATAACAAAAGACATTTATATGTAAATAGAGTTACTAATAACATTACTTAGTTAAACGTTCTTATTAAGTTGTGATACCAATAGTTGACTTAATACTTTCTGAAAGATAATGCAGATAGACAGAAATCTATATAATAAGTTAAGATTATTTATTTTAGATAAGACATACTAGTACAACATAATAAATTACAAATGTTTAATACAGATCTATTAAGAAAGGAAAATACATACTGATTCTTTTTTTGAAACAGTAGACTTTAATAGACATCTTAAACTAAAGCAAATAATTTTTTGTTTCTACGAATATAATACTAACCTACTGACATGTTTAAAGATGGGTTTCTTTAAATCTGTAACTTGTATAAAAAGAAAAAACAGATATTTTCAACTAAAAGAATTTTTAAATAAAAAATATATAAACAATAACAGCAATAATATAATTCATTCTTTGCTATAGCATGTAATTTTGAGAATATTCATATAATTGGCTGATATTAAAAATTAAAAACTATTACTCTTAAAATTTTATCTAATAAATCAATTTTTGCATACTAACTAAAAAAATTTTTTGCAATATTTTGTTATAATATCATCTATTAATTCTAACATTAATCTTAACTTTTTAAGAATAAAATAATATGTAATTTGATGTAAATAATTCTAATATAAACTTTAGTAAATCTATTAGTATAGAGACAAATGATTAATGTATATTGTATATTAGTAGACAAACTATTTTGAGCAAATAATAAAAAACAAAACCTAAACTTAGTGAAAGAAGTCCTCTCTGATGAAACTGATAAAACCTAATAAAACTAATAAAATTGATGAAACCTAGCAAAATTGGTGAAACTCTTGAAGAAAAACAAAACCTTAAAGAAGATTGAAAGTCAGAGAAAATCAAATCCTCTAATATTTTGAAAAAGACTAAATCATATTGGTAAATGAAAATATTTTGCATAATTATTAAGTACAGCATGTGACTTATATAAAAAATATATAAACAAAATAGTAGCTTTTTATTTGTATTCAAATACTATCAAAAGACAATATAATTCAAATATTTGATGAAAATAATTTGTGCATGGCTTACATAAAAATGTATAAATTAATAAACAAACTGAGAACTATTTGCTTATATTCAATTACTATTAAAAAAAAGCTAGAATTCAGATTTTAGAATTTATAATTAAATATATTTAGTCTTGAAATTCAAGACTTAAATTTTTTTTACAATCACTTATTTGTGCATTAAATAAATTTATTATTAAATTAATGTTTTTTTTCTTTAACATTTTATTAAATACTATATATATGTAAGCAGTTTATTAACATTATTATTATTAACAATCATTTTCTGATACTCTTTAGCTAATTTTAAATCTCTGTTAGGGTATATATCATTTATTTATAATAAATAAAATATGTAAAATTTAATTATTAATAACAAACATTATATATATGACAAATAATTATATAAGTATTATATGTAAATATAGGATTAGAATTATTGAATTATGGCATTATAACATTTACCAGATAGTAGAATTAATTAC